GCAGCGGTTAACAATATCAACTACATCTTCCCGTGGGTGTCGTAAAAGGCGACAGAGGGAGACAGGCAGGAGATGGGCAGCAGCATCTTCCTGATAACAGCAATTTCACAATAAAAAACTGTGGTTGCGAACCCGCTCGCCAAGCGTGGCAACTATGGCATGAGCAACGACACAAATAATTCTTTTATAATTAAATAACTTCCCAGGGGTTATTATCATACCCCTGGGAAGGGTGACCCCACCAAGCTGTTTCTAATTTGTTTTGTGTTGTTAATTGTAACACGCACGCTGGTTCTTCCCAGGACAGAGGTTTTTTGCGAACCAGTAATAAATGGAAAAAGTGACATACAATAAGTATTATTTATAATCTATATTGAATAAAAAAGTTTTGTTTCTGTTTCAATGGCCCCCAGTGCCCGGCGGCCCCGCTATTCCTGGCTACGGTGGCAACCATGGTAACAGTTGTGTTAAGAATCTCCGGTGGAGGTTCGGTTGCCTGCTTAGACGACTTGACCTAGCAATATACAACGCACGCACCCTGAGAACTGACGAGAAGATCCTGGAGCTGGAAGAGGGGATAGATAAGTTTCGCTGGAATATTATAGGATTATCCGAGGTCCGAAGAGAGGGGAAGGACACGGTGATTCTCGAATCCGGCAACTTGTTCTATCACCGGGAAGGCAACCATCTGTCCCAAGTAGGTGTTGGGTTTATCCTCATAAGTCTCTCGTTAACAACGTGGTAAAGGTTGGGAGTGTGTCGACGAGGGTTGCGTACCTTATACTCAGAATCACAAAACGGTATGCGCTGAAGGTCTCACAGGTTTACGCACCAACCTCGGCACGTCTAGAAATATCGTCATAGGAAATGTATGACGGTATTTCCAGAGCAATGCATGCCTCTAAAACTCCCTATACGGTGTTAATGGGAGACTTCAATGCAAAACTAGGCACAAGAAAGAACGGTGAGCTGAAGGTAGGGAAATTTGGGATAAGGCAACGGAACCAAAAAGGCCACCAGCTGGCCGACTTCATGGAGAAAGAAGGACTCTTTATGGTGAACTATTTCTTCCAGAAGTGGACCTCGTCGAACCCCGACGGTTCGACAAAAAATGAGATTGACTTCATTATGACGACTAGACAGCTACTGTTCAGTAATGTTTCAGTGATCGCAAGGGTGAAACTATCAGCGGTCATCGAATGGTTAGAAGCACTTTGGAGCTAAACGTTAAGTTGAAGAGTTCTCGTCTAATGAAGTCAACGCTTCGTCCCCCTCGTGCTCTAATTAGAAGTCCCGAAACCTTTCAGCTCGAGTTACAAAACAGTTTCCAGTGCCTAGAAGACTGCAATGCAGAGGACGATATGAATGACAAGCTCGTGGAATGCGGCTATAGCTAAGTTCTGCAAGACCCGCCACAGAAGAACACAAAAACTCCGACCATACTCTGAAGTGAAACTGCAGTCTTCAACAGATTTGACACAGCATACAGGACTGTTCAGGAACTTAACAGACAGATCTCTAAATGCATGCAGCTGGACTTATGCAACTTTAATACTGCTTCTATTGAAGAAGCGATCGAGCGGAACCTGGGCTTCAAAATCTTTGCCAGAGATCTGTCTGCCAGAAAGAGCCAACTGTCAAAGCTGAAGACCGAGTGTGGCAGCATCATTTCCGGGACACCTGAGATTTTGAGTTAGATTGAAAAGTCCTATGGGCAGCTGTATTCATCATCGTTGGAGCCACATGTAAGTGTGAGTAACGATCCAAGAACAAGACTTATTCGACACTGTTACGATGATGTTCCGGACGTCAGTCTGAGCGAGAGCTATTCAGGCTCTTTAGTACCTTAGAAACGGCAAGGCCCCAGGCGAGGACGGAATTACAGCGGAGCTTCTGAAAGAGGTTAGAAAACCAGTAATTAAAGTCCTTCAGAAGCTCTTCAGTTCCATCCTCCACGGTGGCACTACCCCAGAGGCGTGGAGCAGAAGTCCGGTGGTCTTGTTCTTCAAGAAAAGCGACAACGCTCTCTTGCAGAACTACAGACCGATTTCGCTTCTGAGCAGTCTACGTGCTGTTTTCGAGAGTCATTACGAATTGTCTGGCACGCAGATTACGACTTCCAGCCTCCCGAACAAGTCTGTAAGCGAAAAGGCTTACAGTACCATTGATCACATATTATATACCTGATGCAGATTGTACAGAAGACCGAAGAGTACAATCCATAGGTACAATCTGCCACTTTGTCTTGCGTATGTGGACTATGAAAAACCCTTGATTTCGTCGAAATTTGAGCGGTGCTGTAGTTCCATAAGCGGTGTCAAGTTGATTGTCAACATATCGAAGTGCTGAAGTATTTGTACAGTACGGCTACGTTGGCTATCCGAATACAGAACCAGAGTACGAAACCTATTCAAATACAGAGAGGTGTAAGGCAGGGTGACGTTATATCCCCAAAACTCTTCAATGCTGCATTGAAAGACGTTTTCAAGCTACTGAACTGCAAAGGATTAACATCAATGGCGAGTACATCTCTCACCTTCGATTTTGCAGACGATATACTCCATATTACAGAATCGCTGGAGGACCTAAGCACTATGCTCAATGACCTCAACAGTGTCTCCCAAAGGATAGGTCTTAAGATGAACATGGACTAAACAAAGACCATGTTTAATGTCCACGTCACACCTATGCCGGTAGTTGTTGAGCACTAAGCTCGAAGTTGTTGACGTGTAAGTTTACCTGGAACAAATACTTAGTCCGATCGAGAAACCGGCCGTCCGAGAAGTCCAACTTCGACCGAGAGGTCAATCAACGGATTCAACTTGGCTGGCCAGCGATCGGGAAATTACGACACATCTTCTCGTCAGGTATACGTCTAGGAAAACTGCTATTTTACACTGGTGTTCTGCGAGAGCATGGCTCTCCCCGGTCGAGCCAATCAATTCGTACCACGACTATTATAGCTGCAGCGTGACTTTACCACGTAAAGTATTATAAAGATGTAACGGCGGCACGACCGCGGCAAAGGGGACCGCGCTCTGCATTTTCTTTTGTCGCTAGATCACAACTACCAATAAATCGAATACGAACGTATTACCCGTTTTTCTCTCTGCTCCCTCAAGATATTATCCATCTTAGATTGCCACCTATCGATATCACAATATTTAATGGTGATATTAAAACTTGGCCGTTATTTATTACTAGCTTTCAAGACTATACATAATAATCCCTCTTTATAAGACGCTGAATAATTATATTATTTAATTAGCAAGCTGAGTGTCACGGCGCAATCTGTATGTGCCGGTTTGACACCGACAGCAAACAACTACTTATTCGTTAATTTTCAAATAGCTTAGCAATAAATATGAAGACAAGCGATTGTTGGCTTCTGCATATCTAGACCCAAATATTCGATCTTAAAGCTATGTCATCCATGAATATCAAAAGCCTAGAACAATATTTGGATAGATTCGTGACGTCGGTAGCCGCTCTTAATTGTTGCGTTAAATAAGCTAGACACGAACATCGTAGGGTCGTTTCAAATTGAGAATCGTGACTCCGACCTACCATCGTCAAGGTCAAAGTATTTCAGGCATATATAAAGTAATAAAAATAAATAACAAAACACAAACGAGTATATGGATGTCGATTTTTGCTAACATTGCGAACAAAATCACTATAAATTAAATACCTACGTAATATCTTGTAAAGTGTAAATTAATAACACATCAACCATCGTTCAATGAACTTCAAACTATACACAACAAAAACTTGAGCTATAGCTTACATCATTAAAACCTTTTTACTTCTCTGTATACAGTTGCTCAGTTTTTTGCTTAGTCACGAATATTACACAATCATTGTAAAGGGAGTCCATAGTGTTATGGGATCGGAAATGAAAGAATGTTCACACAGGTAAAAGAACTTTATTTCATGAGCGTAGGAAAGTACTAATAATTTTGTTATGTAAGAAAAAAAAAACATTTGCAAAAAAATGTACAAGTTTTTTAAATATAATCAAAGTATTTTTTTTAATATAAAATAAAAAAGTAGGTATGTTTTTTAAAGTACACAATTCTCTTGGGGCTCCTGCATATCATTTCTCAACAATCAAGTAGAATATATTATTAATTTTAATTGCACAAAGTTTCGTTTTAGATTAGACAATTTAGTCACAGGTATACCATCTCACCACGGATAGTAAGACCAACAATGTTTCAAATAGTATACAAAATTGTACGCAATCTAAACCGAGGCCAAGCCCCGCGGCTTGCGGCTAAATAAAAATACAAATTTCAAGTCATCCGCTGCCCGGAGCCGACCTGATGGTATACAAAAATGAACAGTTCCTCTACGAACGTCCAACCAATACAATATATAATTCAATAATAAAAATATCACATCTTTGATCCATGATATTTTGCAGGTGCATTCATTCGCGTCACCCCCGAATACGATTAGAAGATAATAACACTGAGTGGTACACGGACAAGACACTTGGGCCGCGTGGCGCTCGATACATGCACTACGGTGTGAGGCCACGAGGTCGGCGAGGCTCGTGCGTCGCCCAAGCCTCGGCTTGTTGACGCTGAGCTTGGGGCCCGACACAAGGTCCCTGCTCAGGGCCGGTTATTCCGTTTATCCTCCCTAAACGGCCATCAGGAGGGTGTATAGTCGGAAGTGAATTCAGATTATCCATCCCGTTTAGAAGGGATCATCATGAGATGAACACGCGTTTCCGAGTATCCATCCTAGTGTGGCTGTTTAAGAGTGGGTAAACGGAACAACTGCTTAGGACTTGATGATGTCCGAGCTGGAGGCTTGCAGCGACGCACCAGACTGTCCCCGATACGCTCAAGCTTGGCTCTCGTTGGTGGTGGCGGCTTCGACCGTGGCCTTGGGCTTGGGCTTGGCCTGGTCAGCTGCTGGAGAAGCCTCATCACCACGGGCCGCCTGCTGGAAACCACCGCGTGGTCTAGCACGCCTAAAGCCTCCGCGGTTCATGGGCCCTGGACCACCTCCACGTCGCCCGCCGCGGAAGTTGCGCCGGAAGTAGCTGTGAGCATTCAAGCAATGGCATTTGTATAACTTATGCTTTTTAATATACCAGCCCGGCCAATGTGACCAACATTATTGGTGTAATTCACATACGGGTTTGAGATTATGTTGCAATGAGGGTTAGTGTAGTGAGAAGTTAGTAATAAATAAAATTTTGTCAGTTTCTAGAGTATTATATTAATACATAAACAATGCTTTAGTGCACTTTGTATGCGTATCTTATTAATCTTTTAATATCCGTAGTTAGATTTATTAATTTTTTATCTAATTTATATAAAATATAACTAATGTTACAATAAACATTAACATCTCATGCACAGCTAAGTTTTTAATTATGTAAAATCGCGGTTAGAATTAAACAAATAAAAGATTCAATAATGTATGTGATTAAACTACAGATAGTCAAAAGTTGTTTCAAAGGTAACTCTAGTACATAAGTCACGGCGCTGTATTAGGAGAATGACGTAATCGCGCCGGGTGTTTAGTTTTGTAATGGTAATACTATTGTGGCACAGCTAACATGTAGTCCAATGCATATTATAAGGCTGCATGCAATTCAACATGTGCGAATGTGCATTTGTTCCAGTTTCTTTTTTTTTTTTAAAACACATGGACCAACATAATTACAGTCCACCTGATGGTGACTGACTACTTCATAAAAAAATACAGATGTGTTGTCTAAGGATGTCTGAGGACTAATAGATAGAATGTGTTAGAGCCTGTAATTATACTGGCAGTAGTACTCAAGTTGTGCACCGTTGCATAACAGGTATCGTGGATAATCGCTGACTAGTGACTAGAATTACACACAATAAATTGGTGCCACCTAGACTCGCAAAGCAGATTGTTAATTGAATGGACTAAATAAATTTATTCAATTACAATATACCCCTGCTAGGTGAGAATCGAGACTAAATAATGAAACTAATGAAATAAGAGTACATTTGAATAGCTAAAACATTAGAAATAATGTGGCAAGTACATGCAGACATTAGTTACCTTCGCTGTGGTGGCGCCCCCCTTCTTGCCCTTCATCCCCCTGCGCGCCCCCCCTGGATGGCCATGGGCCCGCGACGTCCCATGCCTCCCCTGCGTGGAGCGCCCTCACCGCCGCGTCCGCCGCCTTGACGGGGGTAGTATCTGTCACACAAGATTTATTACTACACTCCCCTACCAAATATGTTACAAGAAAACAGACCACGACATATTTGATAATTTATTTTAGATGCCAAGTCTCAATACGAATAAATTATCAAATTAAAAAGAAATTGGGTAGAAATGATTAATTATACTGTATTTTTTATCCAATACAGATTACATGTAATTCTTACAGAGTAATTTTTTTTAGAACCAGCAAGAAATCCAGCGGGACTTTACAACATATACAATGAGAAAAGTTGTACAAATGTATTTATAAAATGTATTCCCTCTGTCGCCTTTTACAACACACCTGCACAGGATGATATGGAGTAGTGGATATTCTTACACCGCCAATACACAAAATCCTAAGAAAATAGAAACTATATACATTATAATATCATAATGAAGTCACCTATGTTTATTTTACTACTGGTATGGAAAATACTCAAGTCCCACTTAAGTCCCGGAATGAACCAGCAAGAATCATATTGGGATTATATACTTTTAAACATATATAACTATACAATAATTTTTAAACTTACAATCAATTTTTAACTTACAATTTTGTATATGAATTTTAATAGAACCAGCATGGTGGCGATGCCCTCATCACCAGGGGTATTTTTATTCATGTATTGTATTAAATAAAACTTTTAAACTTGTTTATTGACAAACTGAACCAAAAGCAAGTCTGATGATAATTGAACTCTGTTTATATTTTTCTTGTGTAGTCAATCCAAATTAAAAGATAAATTACAGTCTAAAGAGAAATCGTAAGTGACTCACTGGCGGGGGAAGCCGCGGCGTTTGTCAGCTGCGTAGGGCGAGCCCTTTACCGGCTCGCCGCCGGGTCCGGTCACTCCAGCGGCCTCAAAGCCTTTCTCCCCGGCGACCACGGCAAACTCCACCGCCTCACCGTCGCCCACCGAGCGCACAGCCTTGCGCGGGTTGTTCCGAGCGATCGCTGTTTGATGCACGAACACATCCTCCTTTGTGTCATTCCTGCCGCATCAGGGAAACATCAGCGCTCACTCTACTACAAACACTCGTTTAAATTATGACACAATAGAAGAATGGAATAGCACTACTTAAGGGTTGAATCTTCTAAAATCCTTTCAGTGTAAGAAATGAGCATGTAAGCCAAATTTCAAGTCACAGATGTACAATTTTGGAGATATCATGAAGTGTGCGAGAAATATTTATAGTCATTTGCGCATTACCACTGGTTCAAAAAAACCTCTGTCCTAGTAAGATCCAGCAAGTCAGTGGGACTTTTTTTAAAACATTAATTTACAATATATTTTATAATTAATTAAATAAATTAATACTTAGTAGGTAAACATTTGATTGATTGAATGATTCCTGCAGAATATTACATTGTTTTGACTACTAAAGTGACTTAACACAATGAAACAAACTGTAAAAAGTAGAGTGAGTGTTGAGATGGGTCAATGCAAAGTAAATCTAAATTATTAAATTAAAAAAAAACTGAATATAAAGTTAGTCTTTATTGCCAATACTAAAATTATGTGCGTAAGTTTTAAAAAGTTAAAATTAAAAATGTATTAAGCAGATTCGAATTTGCTTAGTTGAGTTTAAAATGATCTTGTGTGATATTTTACATCAATTTATGTAATCAGGGTTCAAACCTTGCAAAGACTATGTTCAAAAAGAACCAGTAAAATATGTAACTTATTAAAAAAAAAATATTCTCATTACCAGTTGTTGGCATCTTGTAGTACAATAGTATTTATAACAATAAAGTCTAATTGGTTTTAGGATTACAACTCATCTGCATTCCACACTAATGTTAATTATATTTATAGCAGTTGTGCTTATAATAACAATAAGAGCATTCTAATTTGCATTGCACCTGTTTTGCAGGTAGCTGTTAGAGGGGTTGTAGACATATGTCAATCATTCATTTCTTGTGACCGAAACATTCTAGTACATTTCATCAAGTGTATTGGTACATTCTGATTCAAATGGATCATTTGGGCCTCCAGAACAATTCATTCAGATCATTCGGGATTTGGTCGGTTTTTGACTCATTTACAATTCACACCAATCACGAGTTAAAGAGATTCCGTTAATTATTTGTGATTGGTTGTACTGGATTATTCAAAAACAGATGAATGAACCATCAATACTTTTAAGTGTTTCATAGGAAGGAATCATTCATGATTGACATTTGACAATCTTTTGTTGGTTAATTAAATTAAATACGCAAATGAAACACAAAGAGCTTATTTAAAGTAAACTGATACAATGTTCATTATTACTAGACAAATATATCAATTCTTATTAATCAATCACGTTGCCTTCAATATTTAATTTTAATATTTGTATTATATGTTATTGTTCTTGCAAGCCAAAAAACTTCTGATTTGAAAGATAACTTTCTTTTTGTTGCAGTTACACCTGCCTATAAATAATGTTCTGTATATAATTTTAAAGAAAATTGATCGTAGATTTTGGGAGTACCTGCTATTTTTTCAGAAGTCCTTCATATTCTATAATTAAAAAGAATTAAATAGTAAAAGATATTCCAACCTATTATGGCAGATACTATTGATGTGGTGCTAAGATATTATGAATGCTATAATATAAATCAAATATCGACTTGAAATAAAATGTAAAATAATAATAACAATGTTTATTGATTGAAACAAGATAAGCTACCCACTAATTATCTAATACTTAAAATTAAAGTTTCAAGTGGAACAAAAATTTAAGTCAACATTTGAATGTGTAACATGTGGGTAGTTTAGTTTGACAACTAAGGATGTGTACATTTCACAAGACTATAATATTTAACAAGCGATTTGCTCTGGCTGTGCACAGACGACCTACTGGGTCCGAATATGCCTATAACCTTTACGGATGTGAAAGCAATATCTTGACAAAATTATACCACAATCTGATGAACAGTATGGCACCATATAAAATACAAACAAACAAATTATTTTTATGTATCTACACTAATACTATAAAGAGGAAAAATTTGTTTGTTTGAATTGAATAGGCTCCAAAAACATAAGATATAGTATGTATTCAAAAAAAGTTCACTTAGGTGCCTGCAATTTGCTACAGTGGGCGGGGCTGCTTTCCCTCCGTGCCTACTACTTTCAAGACAGACAGACAAGACTATGTGGAGTCGGTTTGTGCTAATTCGGTTTTAGAACCTTAGATGTTTTAGAACTTTAGATGTTTAAGAGTTGTAAGAAACTTACTAATGTTGTCTTACTGTCAGCAAATCATACATCATACATTATGCTAAGGAAACATATTTACCATTTAGAATTTTATCACCAGTTACCGCCAGGTGTGATAATTATATTTATTAACTCTTTTTTTTCTCTTTTATTCTTTTAACGTTTAAGTATGTTATTAAATATAATTCTTTACATTTTATAAAATGACTTAGACTCATGACATACTCAAATAAATAATAAATCATTAAAAATCTTACCTATTGATGAAACCATATCCACTCTTGACGTTAAACCATTTGACAGTGCCCGAAACCTTTTCAGCTGCAAAACATGAAATATTGTTTAATATAGACTTCTTAAGGTACTATTAAAGTTAACAAGAAAGGTTTGACAAAGATCATATTGAATTTCCCGGGTTAGTCAACATTTATAGTATATTACTTAGTATTTAATTAAAAACACTAATTAATTGTAGTTGTGGCGGCAATCTTAACAAAAATATTGACTCAAACTAATGTTAATTTCGCTTGGTGAAGTGTTTTTAAGGACTGAGTAATGATTACAATACAAAAATATCACAACGCGGCATTGCAATTACAAATACTACCGTCGAAGTACAAAAATAAAATTTTACAAATACTCATTTTAGCCATTTACACAAATTTATTGTTATTTGTTTATTTATTTAACAGAAAATAAAAACATATGCGCTAGCTATCGCAGTGGCATCTGCGTTCAAAACTAGCTTTTGAAACCTAATAAGGATGTTTTAAAAATTGAAGAGCTGATGCATCATAATAAAGCTAACAGCACTTTGTTCTAATGTGCGGTATTGATTAATAAGCCCGCGCGATACGGGAAGGGTCGGGAAGAGCCGGAGTCATCACACGATCAATAATGCATAACGCCAGAACGCATCTAAATAAAAAACAAATATATATATAAATGTTTTTCAATAATGGCATAATAATAAAACATCAGAAATTCTATTAAACACATCTAAAACGTATGATTCTATATTTTAGTAGCCATGCGGTTTCGATCGCCAAATGCCGGGCCACGCAAAAAATTAAGATGGCGTAGCACTTACCAATGACCTGCTTTTGTTTAGCGGCTTTAGCCGGTTGCGGTTGAGATGCTTGGTCTTGCTGCTGCTGCTGCTGTTGTGGTTGCGGCTGCGGCGCCTTTTCGGTATCAGCCATGGTGTAATTGGCGAACGGCGATGGTGGCTAGATGGTAAATTCCTCCACGACCTCTCCTCGATGTTCACCGCTCTTCGATCGTTGCAAACGGACTGACGATTTGATTTGACAAACAAATGCGATGCGTTCGTCTGATTTATTTTTGCAATGTTGGTAGGCATGAGACCGATATATTAAAACGTAATTCTAATAACGTTATGTTATCAAAATATCATATCATATCGATACACCCAAGTACATAACCGTTATCACATATCCAACCAAAACCAAGAAACCAAAACGTACGAAAGTTACGAAACGTAAAACGCAAACTGGAACGATAACGATATGCCCACGAACTAACCGATGTCCTTCGTTGATATTCGTTGTTTCTCGTTCTTGTGACGGTATCTTAAATACGTATATAAAAACATGAAGCGAATATGGAATATGGTGGAATATGGTATATGGTTGGGATGGTTTGGTAGTTTTCACAAACAGTGCAAAATGGACGTAGTGGATATAATTACCTAGAGCAATATGGTCGAATTTTAAATGGTTAAAATTGCCTAATTTTTGTGTAGTTGTGAGAGTTGGCAAATTTAAAATTTTATATAAAAAAATTAGTTGGCGGCCGTAATAGAAGTGGTAGAAGTGACCTACCCATATAAGGACGCCCCCTACCGCCACTCCCCCCTTCTTGCATAGTAGTCGAAGAGAATCGCTAGTTGTGATTGCACCTCTGTGGCAGTTGCGTCACAGAAGAACCACTGGTAATAATCGCCTCGCATAGTGCGAGATTTCGTCACGCACCGCACTCTCCTAACGCACTACAAGACCAGGAGCGTCGTCCACGAGGCCGTAAAGAACTCCACCCCGGAAAGTGCTTCCTTTTAAATTGACTTGAGGCGTTTTATTTCCTTGTTACGTTTCTCTCCCTTAGTGGTTCAAGTATAAACTCCTTCAAGACATTGGCAAAACAGTAGATTTTAGAATAGCGAGTGCAAGTTTCCAAGGCTGCCGCGAGCCATTTTATTTTTGTTGCTAGAAAACGCACATACACAGTCCACATAGCAACATTTCGCATAATATGGTCCGACCCGGGAATCGAACAAGAGACCCCAATCACCGGAAACATTTCTAGTCATTAGCGCGGCACCATTTTTCTGGTTCTTATGAGCCGGATTGGAATCAGGCAATTGGCCCCACCATATTCCGGTCCTTTCGAGCAAGATTCGAGGGGAGAGTCTGTGGTTCAACCATCATTCATTTAAAGATTTCTTATATTTACGCGAACACTATACATTGATTAAAACTACTTTTACGGATTTTATCGCGTTTTATTTATATTAATTTTAATACCCGACATTTCGGGTGCTTTCCAGCACCCATGGTCACGGGGGACTGAGGTGACTGACGTCCCGATGTCAAAGTTAACCCGGAGTACCTTCAGCTTTTTAATTCTGCGTAGATCGGACCAAAGACAATAATTATACTATATTACCAGCTTTCTTGCAGATCGGAGCATCAAGGTCGTTGTAGACGGTGCAAGCTCCGATTGCAAGCCTATTAATGCTGGTGTTCCACAGGGCTGCGTGCTATCGCCAATGCTGTTTCTTCTGCATATCAATGACATGTTGCATACCCGTAACATTCATTGCTATGCAGATGACAGCACTGGTGATGCTCTTTACACCGGCCGAGCCAATATTTCTCGGGAAAACGTCTCCGAGTGCCAGGACAAACTTGTGTCTGAAGTCGAGTCTCTGCTGGACAGAGTCTCGGATTGGGGGCGACTAAATCTAGTCCAGTTTAACCCCCAGAAGACACAAGTTTGCGCGTTAACCGCTAAAAAGAACCCCTTTGTCGTATCCCCTCAGTTTCAAGGCACTCCCCTTGTTGCCTTAGCCAGTATCGGAATCCTCGGCGTCGACATATCGAGTGACGTGCAGTTTCGTGGTCACTTGGAAGGGAAGGCCAAATTGGCCTCTAAAAAGCTTGGCGTGCTCAGCAGAGCGGGACAGTATTTCATGCCGGCACAACGCCTGCAACTTTATAAGGCGCAGGTTCGGCCGCACATGGAATACTGTTCCCATCTCTGGGCTGGGGCTCCCCAGTACCAGCTTCTTCCACTTGACCGCATCCAGCGCAGAGCGGCTCGAATCGTCGACGACCGAGTGCTTTCCGATCGGCTCGATTCACTGGCGCTGCGAAGAGATGTTGCATCTCTTTGCGTATTTTATCGCATCTATCACGGGGAGTGCTCTGAGGAATTGTTCGGATTAATCCCAGCTGCCAAATTTCGTGAACGCACTACACGTCAAACGTCCCGATACCATCCACACCATCTGGATGCTTGGCGGTCCACCACTGTACGTTTCACAAGGAGTTTTCTTCCACGTACAACCTCTCTGTGGAATAGTTTACCACCGGCGATTTTTCCGGACCGATACGACCTGGGGACCTTCAAGAAAAGAGCTTACTCCTTTCTAAAGGGCCGGCAACGCACCCGCAATTCTCCTGGTGTTGCGGTTGATCATGGGCGGCGGTAGTCACTTAACATCAGGTGAGCCGCATGCTCGTTTGCCCCTTCTTCTATATAAAAAAAAAAAAATTGGTTTAATTTGTGAATTAGGTAATTGTCTATTATTTATGTAATTTTATTTTGATTAAACCACGGTTTTATATTTGTCCTTGTACGATTTATGTTTGATAACTGCCCAATCATAAAGGAGAAGATCCTAATGTGGAGGTTACGTTTTTAAAAAATAATAAGAGAATATTTTTTTGGGGTTATGCCATCTAGCATTTACTCTCCGTATCACTTTGAGAGTCAATCAATTTTTGTTCGATAAAATGACTTTACGTATAGAATGTAGTAGATGGTGCTATTATTGAAATGCGTTCACTCTACGTTAGTACTCTTATTAGTTTGTGGTTCTCTCTTTCTAAAATAATTATATATAACTTGGTAGCTGCCTTAAACTAAAATAAAATTGTATAAGATTAGTATTTAAACGAAAGGCCGTTATAGTCTTGTAATTCTAGTTATATTACTATATACTTTATGGTACGTAATGGCCTACGTTCGCGATTTGAATGATCGTTATCTATGGAATGATCTACCGAATAACCCGGTACTTGCCCCCACCACTTTTCATCACACAAAAAGGTTACGATTCAGAATTTCAAAGCCCTCCCGTAAAAAGTTTCACTTCAAAAAACTGCGTTTGCTAACCCACTTGCCAAGCGTGGCAACTATGGTAAATATCCTCCCCTAAGATGCAATCTATTGGGGGACTATATGTTCAACAGTGGACTTTAATAAGCTGTAACGGTAACTGTATAATTTAATACTGCATAACAATGAATTTACAGAAATTATACATCTAAGATACCTAACATTAGAACTTCTGACTTCAAAACTAGAATCATCTACGTAATTCGTAAAATTAATATTGCACTGGTTTTAGTTTGCGGTTATGTTTCGGTTGTCGTTTGCGCATTCAGTAACAAACCGTTGCTACTGATATCGATATCTGAAAATGGTTTTCAATAACGATATGAAAACTAAATATCGGTTATGTAACCGTTGCAACTAAAAACTGAAAACGCTCATGCTTATATGTTGGTATCATGGAGGCTAGAGAGAAGGAGAATAGGGTACTAGTCATGGAGGTTAGAGAACAGGAGACCGATCGCCGTAGAAGATAGTGTCGCAAAAATATACCTCCACGGTTCTCTCTATGCATATGTATGTATGTAATTACTATAAGCAGTAATATGAACAAAATAAGTGAGGCGCTGTGATCGCTAAGTTGTCTCAATAAAAGTCATTTTCAGTCTATTTTTCCGATCAGATGCTAAACCACTTGCACATCCACGCATAATACTATATTTCATCATTTTGTAATATTTCTTTTTGTAAAAAATAAAAAATTACGGAGCATGATTATTTTCTCACCAATGCCGCGAAAAATTTTTTTACATTATTCATCTAATTTCATCTACTTGTACTCATAAACAGCTAACTTCGCAGATACTGCGTACCGACGGCAGTTCAGGGACAGGCGAGCTATGTTTTAGCACGTAATGATCGTTCTCCTCACAGAACACTAGTACCATGGAGATAAGATAAGATAAGATAAAATAAGATGCTTTATTAGTCAGAATATGGTACATTACTGTTGTTACAAAAGAATTTCGATCCTAAATATTCTGCCGTTTCCGGCGTACAAATATTTTCAGATAGATAATTTTTCGAATAAAGTAGAAAATTAAGACATTAATTATTATATAGTATAAAGATACTTGCAGCAATACTTATGGAAAGTAAATCCATATAAAACAAGAATATAACTCAATTCATAATATTTTTAGTTAAAACATTTAAAAAAATTAAATTCAGCAATTCAATAATTACAATTCGAGTCAAATTTTTCATTTAAGAAGTCATTTATTGAGTAATATTGAGCAATAACATTGAGGCTAAAGAACAGGAGAACGATCGCTACGTACTAAAGCATAGCCCGCCTGTCCTTGAAAATTGTAGAATTTATAGCAGCGCTAACGTCGGTGAGTAGTGACTTCGAAATTAGCTGTTTAATGAATTCATGAGCCGTTAAATGATCCCCCCCAGAGTACGTAGCATCTCCTTCTCTCTAACCTTCATGGAGAGATCCTACAATTCTACATAAATTGAGTCAATATACTTGTCTTGCTTTATCTAATTTAATTTTCAAATAGGTCAAAAGTTCGATAACTCCTCAATACGCGATAGACCATCTGCGACAACGTTATTCTGGCCTTTTATGTACTAAATATCTGTAGTGAATTGAGAGATGTAGTCCAGGTAACGGAATTGTCTCGGTGAGCATTTCTCGCCATTGTATGAGAAAACTGATGTAAGTGGTTTGTGGTCTATAAATACTGTGAATGATCTAGCTTCGACATATACATGTGTCTGAAATGTCAGATAGCGTCGTAAATGGCTAGAAGTACGCGGTCGTATGAACTACTCG